CTCTTAGGATAAGCTCAAAAGCTGAATGTAAAATTTGCCAAATTCTGAAAATTGGACTTGATTTATTTTTTTGGTGATTGTCTAAACTTAAATGATACAGAAAATATTAATAATGTAGTTTCTACTTCAAAATGTATCTGGTATATATTTGTTGTTCTCTGAAAAGCTGGTTTTAGATAACAAATTATTGGAGAATTTTTTTCCTTACAGTGAGCCTAAATCAAATTCAACTTCCATTTACTGGCCCTACCTCTGATCCCTATACTGAAACAAAATGACATTAATCCCTCTTCCAAGTGACAACCTTTCAAATACTTGAAGACAAACGTCCTCTTTCCCATCCTTCCTCTATCTTGTATTCTTTAGGCTAGACAGTGATCTCAAGGTTTCTCACTATCCTTGTCCACCCTTCTCTGGACCTGTATAGGTTAAATGCTCCTTTTAGAATGAATATAAACTTCTTGAAGACAGGAACTATATCGCTTTTCTGTATTACCAGTGCCTAGCACAGTGTCTGGTTTATAATAGGCACTTAATAAATGCTTTTTCATTCATTCGTAATTCTGGACACCAGGCTCAGTGGTGATGTGACCTACTCAGATCACTTGGTCAGTTGGGATTCAAACTCAGGTGCTCTGACATTAAATGTCAATACAGTCTGAGATCATTGGATTTTGTGATGACATTAAATGTCAATACAGTCTGAGATCATTGGATTTTGTGATTACATTGGCTTGATTTGCATGTTATACCATCGATTGATATTGAACTTATAGTTTACTGAAACTCCAAAATATTTGTAATGATCTGGAGGCACTCTCCCTGGCAGTGATAACAGTCCTGCCCCATTACTATAAGGATGCTTTCCCACTACCATAAGGTTCACTAATTATCATGTCAGGACCTGAGCTTAGCTTTCCCACATCAACCAAACAACATCCCCTTGGGAATTCAGAGGGGCTGACTGAGTATCAAGTCTTGGCCATGACTAATAATTGAGGAAAAATGGAATAGCTCTAACCCATTTTGGCTCCTATCTACATTCTACCACATAGCCAAATCCCTGGCACCACACTCTAACCCAGGATGATTTGCCCCAGTCCACCGTAGTCCTTTCCTCTGAATGGGCTCTTCCTAGTAATAAGTATGTACTAATAAACTTGCTTGTCTTGCCTGAATTCAGCCTCTACAGTCTTTGCAGCCCTGCTCCAAGGCTTCCTCACCAGGGCCCCATATGAATTCCCCTAACTGACCTCTGGCACTGTGTCAGGATGACCTTTCAACCCTTTCCCAGCCTAACTTTCCCTTAGGAATTGCGCCTACCTGCAAAGATTCATCTTAGGGATCTTAGAGAGCAGGAACTGAGACTATAAAAGCTCTCAAGAGGAAGGACTCCCTATTTCTCTGACTGATTCTGGGGCTAGGACTAGGCTAGTGATTTGCTTAGCACCTCTTGTTCCCTTCCACCCTGACTTCTTAGGCAGAGCCAGTAGGAGTAGAAGAAGGCTGTTATCTAGTCACACATGCTCCATCTCATGTTTGCGAAATTGAGTTTTTGAAAGAAGTATGAATAAAATGACTTTACATATGTATATACACACACATATTGGTGTGTAATGGTAGCCATCTCTGGGGGAGGGGAGAAGAAAAAAAGGGAAAAAAAGAAATTTACATTATAACTTTATTATATATTTAAAAGGAATAGCAAGTTGTACATAATAGATTTGCAGTTTCATGTGCAATCATCTCTTCTTATTATACTGTGTTATGGAAATGGTTGTTTTATTCCATAAATTAAAAATTAATAAATTTTTAAAAATTTTAAATGTACCACGACAAACTTTGTGTAGAATGAATTGAGCAGAACAATTTGTACCATGGTTATAATGAAAAAGAAAACAACTTTGGAAGGCTTAAGTACTTTTTGAGTAATGCAACATCATGACTTCAAAAGACTAGTGATAAATCATGCTTTCCATCATTTGGCAGTGAAGATTAAAGATGCAGAACAAGACATACAGTTTTAGAAATGGCCAATGTGCAGATTTATTTTGCTTAATCATACTTATTTATTACAAGGGAAAGATTGTGTTATTTATTTACTTCCTTATTTTACCGATGAGAGTTACGGATGGTGGGAAAGATGTGGGAAAAGGGGCATAATTATAATGATATCTCCAAAAAAGAAGAAAATTAAGGAGTATCAATGAAATATTTTAAAAGATACAGAAGGGAGCAGAAATAAATTCAAAAGAGGACACAGATAAACAGGGCAATAATGAAATGGAATGTCAGTTTTAAACTTAATAGATGCGTAAAAGGGTTAGTCTATGAAAGCCCAGGAAATAATCTCAGAAAAAGGATCTAAGACCAACTATAAAAACTAGTCCAACCCAGTGATCCCTTTTAGGAGGTGCTAACAGGTCCCAGGAGCAAATTAGAAAGTGAGAAACAGCACTGGAAGAAGCATGATTACTCATGCCCCTAGGTGGCCAATAAAAGACAAGTCAGTCAGTTCCAACGAATTGGGCAGAAGCCAGATGCAAGAAGGAACCCATCTCCCACTGAGGAACGTAGAGGATACGTAGAGCAGTACTGTATCCACTTCCTCACCCAGCTGGGAGTACTAGCTGTGCGGCCCTGGTCAAATCACTTAACCCTGTTTGCCTCAGTCTTCTCATCTGTAAAATGAGCTGGAGAAGGGAATGGCAAGCCAGTGCAGTATTCTTGCCAAGAAAACCCCAAATGGGGTCACAAAGAGTTGGACACAGCTGAAATCACTGAACAACAACACACATGTGATAAGATAGATTTCATGCCACCTCAGCTTTTCCCCATGTCTAAAAAGACTCATGCACAAAGGTATTGCCAGACAGTCATTCTCTGCAGGCTGGCTGCATGTGTATCCAAAGGTCAAGCACAGTTAAAACAGGAGTCACTTAAGCTAACTTGTCACAGAACCATTCTTACCTAGTTACTCTGTTACTAGGAGTCTGGAACCACCCACCTTATTAAATGCCTGCTCTTACATGAAGATACTCCTCTGCAACAGATTACTGCCAAGAGTTGTGTGTGTAAATAGCAGCCAAGGGAAAAACAGAAAAAATCTTATCTATTGAAAGTGTGGTCTCATGTTCAAGCCAAAGTCTTCTAGGTTTCAAGCTAACTGGGCTTCAGAATCATCTAATCTCATGAGATCCAACTCAAATAGAAATGGGGGCCCCTAAATTGTAAATAATCCCCATGGGTCACATATTGACTTAGAAAACCATATATCAACATTATCTATGTTCTGTTATATTTTCATTTATTTTGTTAAATAGTTCCCGATTGTATTTTAATCTGGTCAGGAGCACTGGTAAGGGCCTCCACTGATCTAATCCAATCCCGAGAACTCTGAAAAGTAGGCATCCCAAGGTTACACAAGCACATAATAAATCCTTGTTGATTGATTGGTTGATTAAAATGCCAGAAATGGTATTCAAATTCAGATTCTCTGACACCAAATCTGTTTCACTTTCAATTCTACCACTTCTCCAAAACTCAATGTTCTCATCTGGAAAATGGGTATAATACCTGCCCCAATTTCATTACAGGGCTTAAGAAGATCAAATGAAATAATTAAGGCAGGATAACAGTATGGAAAGTACATTAGACTTAGAGGCAGGAAAGCTATGTGGAATCTTTTTCCTTTCTTGGTGATTGCCTGTGTTATAGGGACCACCTTCCTCAAATATCTCTCTGTACTGTTTGAAGACACTCCCTCAAAATCTTCCAACACAAAATAAGGGCATTCTTGACTGGTGGTGAGTTTTACAAATGTGACAGGCAGTGTGATAGAATAGAAAAACTGTTGGACTTGGAGTCAGTGAGTCTGGTTTCAAATCCCAGCCTCCTACTTGGAGCCTAGAGGACTGTAAGGGGGAAAGGATTGCTGCAGGTCAGAATCAGGTTCGTTTTCGTTTGTCAGCCTTTCAGTCCCTCCTGCTTTGAGCTGTTTCCAAGGCTAAGAAAGAATGTGTTCAGGTGCCAGAGCTCCCTCCCAAAGAGAAGTTCACTATTTCTATGGGACTCCCTGATGAAGCCCAGAAATTGAGGTGAATCCCAAGTTAACACAACCAAGGACCCATGGCATATGAGGAGAGACCAAGGGGACTTTGGCCAGGACACTCTCCAGCACTCAGATTCTTCATCTGTTATGAAGGTGGTAGAACTAAGTGACCTCAAAGGTGTCTTCCATTTCTAAATCTATGACCCTAAGACATGGGTTCAAATCCCAAATCTACCATTGTATGTGTTTAACATTTTTGACCTTAGCTTCCTCATCTTTAAAGTAAAATGATTAAATTACATGATCTCTAAAGTCTCTTTTAGCTCTAACATTTTATATAGGCCCTACCACAAGTAAAGTACATATTATATAAATGTGAGTTATAGAATATGCTAAGCATGTATCCCAGGACATAGCTGTTTTTTGGACACAACAATACAAATCTTTCATACTATCTATAAACCTTAGACTCATAGAATCCTAGAGCTGAGAGGGACCTAATTTTTTTCCAACCCTCTCATTTTACAGGAAACAGCGGCCCCGATATGGAAAATAGTTTCCACAAGTTTCCTTAGCAAGTAGGTGTGTGGTTTTATGCCTGGGGCTTCACCTATTCATGACTGAGTTTTTCTCTGTAAAAAGTTATTTCATCTGTCTAATTAAGAAAACCTCTTCCCTAAGATATATTGGATAATATCCGAACATTTTGTATTTCTGGTCATTTGCCTATAATGGATCACTTCTGCCTCTCCTTAAGTATCGGGTACTTTTTGTGGAAAAAAACGCCCCTCTCCCCACAGTGCTCCTGAATGGGACTCTAGGCCCCAGGGGCGGGGCAAGGAGGGGAAATATCCAGGAATCAGATTACATCATCATCACTAACAACTGAAAGATGAGTTGCTCCTTCAGCTCTTGGCTTGGCTTCTGAGAAGTTAGTAGGATCTCAGCAAGTTCCAGCCTTCACTGAGAGAGGCTGCGTGTGTTCCACAAGTGCCGTGTGCGTATGTCTCCTAAGGAGGTAGGTGCCCCTTTTTTCAATCCTAAATGAAGGGGGAAAGGATTGCTGCAGGTCAGATTCAGGCTAGTTTTTGTTTGTCAGCCTTTCAGTCACTCCTGTTTTGAGCTGTTTCCAAGACTAAGAAAGGGTGTGTTCATGTAGCAGAGCTCCCTCCCAAAGAGAAGTTCACTATTTCTATGGGGCTCCCTGAAGAAGCCCGGAAACTGAGGCAAATCCCAAGTTAACATGACCAAGGACCCATGGCATATGAGAAGAGACCTAAGAATCAAAGAACGCAAACTATATAGATGTCTGAATCACAGAAAGCTGGAAGGAACTTTAGAATCATAGATCTTAAAATGTCAGAGCCGGAAGGAACCTTAGGAATGTCTGTCATGTAGTTCAACCTCTTGATTTTACAAAAGAGGAAACCAAAGTTCAGACCCTGCCCAGAGAATTGTACCATCCTGGGAGGATTTGTTTTCGAAAATAGTTGATAGGTGGAGCAGATACCTGTGATGTAGTGGCAAGAGCCCTTGAATGGGATTCCAGAGACTTTGTTTCTACTCATTTTCCAGCCATTAATTCATTGTGAGAACTTGGGCAAGTTACTTCCTCTCCAAGCCCTCAATTAGCAGAGACAATTGGAGCAGTTGACCTCCAATATCCTTTTTGGCCCTGTCATTTAATATGTGTGTGTGTGTGTGTGTGTGTGTGTGTGTGTGTGTGTGTGTGTGTGTATGTGTGTGTGTGTGTGTGTGTGTGTGTGTGTGTGGTTGAGATTTAACTGATTTTTTTGCTTTAAGATTTAAGTCATTACTTGCCTTCAGGCAGAACTATTCCAAGATGAGTCTGAATACCTAGGTTCTCATCCCTGACTTGGCTCTAATTCACTGTGTAAGTCACCTCACAGCTGCAGAACTCAGTTTCCTCATTTTTAAAAATAAAAGGAGTTGGACTAAATGATATCTAAACTGTGTCTTCTACTTCTGAATTTCTTTCTTTTTGTAATTACTATTCTCATTTTCTACATAATGTTGGTAATAATAGCTCTTTAACATGTACTGACTTAAATCCTCAGAACAAAATTTGCAAGGTTATATGCTCCATTTTATAAAAGAGAAAACTGAAATTCAAAGAAGTGGTGACTAGCCTAATGCCTCACAGTGCCATTACAAATTATAACTTATATCACTCAATCAACAGGTATGCATTAAGCACCTAGTATGTATCAAGCATTGCAGTAGGAATCTTATATTCTATATTGGAGATTATATGAATACAAAATAAATATAGGTAATAAGGAGGCACTAACAGCTGGGGAGATCAGATGACCTTTGCATTCAGTCTTGATGGAAGTCTAAAAATTTTAAGAGATAGACATGATGAAGGGGAGCTTTCCAGGTACAGGAGAAAACAAGTGCAAAGGCACAGAAATGAAAGATGGAACTCTACTTGTAAGAAACAGCAAAAAAGCCAGATTGGCTGGACTATATAGAGTGCATGAAAGGGCATAAGATGGAACTTGCTGAAATCCTAATTTATCAGAAGCCAAGCCAGGAGTTGAAGGAACAACTCATCTTTCAAATAGCTGAAAAAGTAGGTTTGTTTGAGGTTGTGGTGAGTTTTAAAAGCCAAACAGAGAAATTTGTGTTTGATCTTAGAGGTAGGAGGGAAGTTTTTGAGAAGAAAGAGTAATATAATGACACCCTATGCTTTAGGGAAGTCATTTTGGTAGCTGTGCGGAGGATGGATTGGAGTGAGGAAAGACTCAAGGCTGGGAGACCAATTAGGAAGTGATTAAAATAATCTAGGTAAGAAGCCAGAGGACTTGAACTGAGGTGTTGGTCATGTGAGTGGAGCCAAAGGAATGGATATAAATGATGTTGTAGAGGTAGAACTGAAAAGACCAGGCAATCAATTGGGTAGTGGGGTCAGAGAGTAAGAATCGAGGATGAGCTACAAAGCACAGCCCAGGGCACAAGAATTGGAGGCTCTTGGTTGGCTACACTGAATAGGACTACCTGTTTAGAAGTGGCAAGAGTAGACTGAAGTTGTGAGTCTGGGAGAATGGAAGAATGATGGTGCCCTTGATGGAAATTGAGTTTTCCTGTGCTTCTCATCCTGGACTACACTGTGGTCCTGCCATTCCCACTGAAAATGAAGACAAAAAAACAACAAGCAGCACTTTGAAGTAGGTCTCATTAAATCAATTTCCCTGTGCAGCGACATACCCCCATTCTTTGTTCCCTAAAGAGCCAAATAATTTAAGCAACAAAGAGTCAGGGTGATCCATCCTTTGAAGTGACATTGCCAGTCATTAATATTAGCTTGAAAGATCTGGCAATTAGTGCTCAGGGTCAAATTACAAGGTATTAGAAATGGTGTTAATGAAACAGGCTTACAAACCTAGAGGTGTTGATTAAAGAATACATAGGATCAGGTGGAAATTAGCACACACGCGCACACACACACACACATACCTCACAACCCCAAAAGTGTTAGCACCATTCAGAATATCCAGTCCTGAGCCCCAGTTTTGTGACCCACTAATATCAAATGTGCACAAGACCCCACTGGACACCATCCTGATTCTGATTCAATCTATTTCTCTGTTACCATACTTGTTATACTCTCACTAGAAGTGTCAACGAGGGCACTCACCTAGTCCAAAATCATTTGTTGCAGTATTCAGTGTCTAAGATGCTCCTATCCTGAGCTGTGGGCATGCATACTGACTCCCTTTTGGTCCTTTGCCCAGGAACACTATGGTCCATAGGTCAATGAAGGGATAGTCTCATTCTCTGCTTTATTCTGGGCAGCTAGGTGATTAAACAGATTAAAAAATTTTGTTATTACCAATTAACAGGCTATGAGCTCTATTTAAGAAGGAGAAATAACATATCGCATACCATCTATTATCCCAAACAGCAGTTGTCTGAGAATAAGTGCCAATATGGGCATGGCTGTCCTTAAAGCACATGATTTATCTCTCTTGAGATGGCCTCGTGAAGAATTCAGGGTATCAAAGAGAAGATTGGAGTGGCAGGAGGCAATAACAGCAGGGGAGATTAGGTGCTTTGAGTTTAACTTTGATGGAAATTTAGTGATTCTAAGAGAAAGAGTGGAAGAGGAAGTGAAGGGGCTCTGGCAAATAGTGGACTTGCCTCTTAAAAGGAATTGCAGAGAAGCGTAAGGAGGACAGTTCCTGGGCAAGAAAAAAAAAAGGCAGGGGTGGGACTTAGCCAGAAAAGCATGAGTATGTTGCTATAACAAAGGCTATCAATGGAGTTCATAACAACTGTTATCCTTCCCCACAGTCTCAGAGGACCTTCCAGCCAAATTCTGAAAACAAAAGAAATGAACTAAGTTCTGTGAATAATTCCTGCATTTGAATCCTCCTTTGATGACTCAGAATGACAAATATGTGACCAGGAATTTTGTTAAGGGTGTCTCAGCCTTCAGCCAAGAGCAAGCAATGACAGGCTGACCCACATCAATATATAAAAATCGATTTATTCATCTCTGATTAATACTCTCCGCATCAATTATTCTAGACCTCTCTCTTCTAAAGTCCCTAGCCACTCCCTCCTCCCCCAATTCCAATATCTTTATTTCTTACTCTACTCAGAAGATGGAGGTCATCTGTTGAGATAGTCCTTATTTCCCATTCTCTATACTTTAAAAATTCCAACTTGCCGAGGCTAACTCTTCTACTTGTACTCACCTACTAAGGAATTTTACTCCATTAGTCACTGATAATAAGAATTAAATTTAATTTGAACATGTATTTATTAAAAACCTACTGTGTTCAAGGAACTGTACCAGGCTATAGACACTCGCATGGGTGCACACACACATACACACACAGCAGTCCTATGACTATAAGCCTCAAGGGGCTTACAACTGGAAGAGCAGGGATCAACATATACACACATAAGTACAAAATTCAGTAGTTTGAAGAGGAAAAGAACAGCAACCAAGGAGAATGAGGGCTGGCTTTCTGGAGAAGGTGGCATCTGAGTTAAGTCTTAAAGGAAGGCAAGGATCTTGAGAGGAAGCACATTCTAGGCACGGGGAATAATCTGTGCAAATACATAAAAGTAGGCCGTTGATTGTCAAATTTGGAGAATACCTAATAGTCCAGTGCATCTGGGACACATCATTTGTGAAAGGAACTAATATAAGATAAAAATAAAAAGGCAAGTAGCAACTAGATTGTCCAGGACTTTAAATGACAGGCTGCACAGTTGATATTTTATCCTAGAGGCAAAAGGGAGCATCTGATGATTTGGGAGCAAAGGAATAACATGGTTACATCTATTCCTACAGGTGTATGTAGCCCTTTCAGTTTACAAAGTACTTCCTTCACAATAATCACATGAAATAAATAGCAGGAATATTTTTATAGCCATTTTACAGATGAGAAAGTTAAGTTTCAAGAAGCTAAGTGATTCATCCAATATCACTTTAGTTAATACGTGTCAGAGTGAAGATATAATTGGCCTCCTTATTCCAAATCCAATGCCTATCCACGCCCATCCTAGCTCACCATTCTGCTGAAACATTGGCATCCAGAATAAGATTTGCAATAAACCAGAATTTCTAACCTCACTTTGACCACTAGAACCAGTCTCTGCAGTAGGCTGGTTGAATATAGCTATCTGGAGTCTGAAGAGGCTGATGACTTATCTATGGCAGAAAGTGATGATCACCCTCAATATAAAGGAGATTTGGCAGCAGTTATGTGATAAAGTACATTTTTGGTCTCTATTCACCAGCACCATTCCAAGGGTATAGCAAATAAGGGTGATCACCTAGACTTGCAAAGGAAGGAAGGAAGGAAAGAAGGAAAGAAAGAAGAAAGGAAGCCTTTTTTAATGGCCCTTAAAAGCACTGTGCTAAGTGCTTTAAAATATTAACTCATTTGATCTTCCCAACAACCCTGGGAGGTAGGGTTCTACTGTAATCTTCATTTTACAGTTGAAGAAACTGAGGTATACAGAAGTTAAGTGACTGTG